CAGCAGTGGGTGACCATGGGCGGCGGTATTCACTTACCATCAGGTGAGCCGCATGCTCGTTTCCCCCCTGTGTTGTAAAAAAAAAAAGTGGTCATAAATAGAATAATATTTTATTTCCTTAATTAATTAATATAATTTTTACATTGCTTTATAATTTTTATATACTATAGCTATCCATTACTATAGCTGCTGTTGAAGTATTTTTTTCGTGTCGTATTTACTATATACTTATTCACTATTTAAAACTCATCGAATACGACATCATACTACATTAACTTCTTATATTCAATAGTCTACTGAAAACCAACGATGCGGCCTATTCGTGACACATGCTGAAATGGGTCCCTTACTTTAGTCGCCGCAAAAAATAATTGTAGCTAGTGTCATATTACACAGGCAGGGTTTGCGTGTACATATAATATTTGGTACTTTTGTTTCTTTGTTATTTTTGTATATATAATATATTATATTTTTTGTTTAATTGTCTGTTAGATTGCGTTCAAATAAATCAAAATTAAATCTTCTCCATACAATGTATGTGTTGAAGTATGCATGAGTACTTTTCTTCTACTTGTATTTCTGCCGTGAAATATTGTAGTGAAATTACAGCGCACATAGGCATAACATCATTGATTCTAAGGAATAGCAACGCATGACTTACAATACAATCTGTGACGTCGATGATACTGTTCATGTTTATAATCGATGGTAACTACTTTTCATCTGGTGGAGTGTCAACTTGTTTAGACATTTTAATTTGCGTAAAAGAATATGATGCATAGCATGGCTATTATAAAATATTCTGTACAATCCATGAAATATCATGAAAATATGCTGACAGTCATGAAAATAATATATATGAATATATAGGCGATAATCATCTTTTTTCATTAAGTAGGCCATCAGCTTGTTTGCCATACAATTGTTTGCCAAGTACATAGATACCATAAAAAACTACCATTTATGATCTGTATCTACTGTTACTCTGGGTGGCTTCAATCTGGATAGGCGACACAATGTACCTATATTATATATGGTATATCCATTATATGTATTACAACATTATTGACAGTCAGTCAGCTGGTCGTTTGGAAAATTTCAAACGCTTACCCAAATCGTTCTACAAACAAAACATAAGAAACAAGATCGATATGGGAAATTAGCAGATTTCCGGCTTCGATGATGTTTGGTTTACGATTAAGAGTCAATGGAAGAGGTTGCTTAAATATAGTAGACTTTAGGTATATTTAAGTCCTTCATAAATTATTTTTATTATCTTATATTTTTGTCTATTACTACTAACTTCTACAACGAATTTTGCAAGAATGATTACTATTTCCAAAATTCATATATACATATAATTGAAAATTTTGTCACGTAAAATAAAAATAAATAAATAATAAAATAGGACACTTCTAGACAACGCATCAAAATCAAACACACACCAGATTTTAAGTTCAATCTTTTGGAGTACAAATGTGAAAACGTAATACAAGAGCGATCTTACATGTCGATAGATAGTAAAAAAAAAAAACTAAAAAATGTTGTTTTTACTTCTATTGCTCTTTTTAAAACCCTTCGTATCCATTTTTTTTTTTTGTAATATTTCCTATATGCAGACATCGTCTAGTTTGTTACAATTTTGTTGTATGTATACAGATGACTACCGATATAGATATAGAAAACTATTTATTTATTAGAAGGAAATTTATGTAAGAGTCATCTGAATGAATTAAATTGTTACTACGTAACATAGCTGCCCTTGCTGCCTATAATTTAGGTTGGATGGGCGGCATATGACAATGAAATTTCAGGTTAAAAAGGCTTAATTATAGGGTTCTATGGATAATATAGTTATATTGTTATATCTATGTGGTAGTTCATGTATATAGACAATAAAAAGCGATAAAAAATGTTGGGCCTCCCATACTAACAACGAATTTAGCTGTTAAGTTAGCATGAAAAACATAAAATAACACAATTTTTCGTTTATAATTTTTTATTCACAAAACAAACAAACATAATTGCAGTCGAAGAGATAAGTTGGCTCCGGTTCTTACGCGTCTTTTTCGGCTCAGCTACTCATCGGGCATAGTACCAAAGTTTTGGAAGACTGCTCTGGTGCATCCGATCCCTAAAAAGGGAGATCGCTCAGATCCAGCTAACTATAGGCCCATAGCTATCACTTCCTTATTCTCGAAGGTTATGGAATCCATCATTAACCGTCAACTGCTCCGGTACCTAGAAGAGCACCGGCTGATCTGTGGTCGCCAGTACGGCTTTCGACAGGGACGTTCAGCCGGTGATCTTTTAGCTTACTTAACACACCGATGGGCAGTGGCAATCGAGAGTAAGGGAGAGGCCTTAGCAGTTAGTCTGGATATTGCGAAGGCCTTTGATCGGGTGTGGCATAGAGCGCTGCTTTCAAAGCTACCTTCATTTGGGTTGCCTGCGAGACTGTGCATTTGGGTCGCCAGTTTTCTCAAGGAACGTAGCATTAAGGTCGTAGTCGACGGAGCATGCTCTGATTTAAAACTTTTGAATGCTGGTGTCCCGCAAGGCTGTGTACTATCTCCGACTCTGTTTCTTCTGCATATCAATGATATATTACAGATAAGTAATATTCATTGCTATACAGACGACAGTACAGGAGATACATTATATATCGGTCATGCAAAGATCTCGCGGGCACATACCGATGAGTGCCGGAATAGACTTTTGTCTGAAATCGAAACTTCACTCCATTAAGTTTCGATCTGGGGTGAACAAAATCTTGTCCAATTTAACCCCAAAAAGACACAAGTCTGCGCGTTTACCGCAAAAAAGACGCCGTTTGTCGTATCTCCTCACTTTCAGGGCACTTCCCTTGATAAAAAGTCGAGTTTAGGAATTCTGGGCGTTGATATATCTTGCGACGTCCAGTTTTGCGGTCATCTGGAGGAGAAGGCTAAGATAGCTTCCAAAAAGTTAGGAGTGCTCAATAGGGTGAGACGATATTTCATGCCAGAACACCGCCTGAAATTATACGAGTATAAAGCCCAAGTCAGGCCGCATATGGAATACTGTTCTCACCTGTGGGCAGGAGCGCCACAGTACCAACTCCTTCCGTTAGACCGCATTCAAAGTCGGGCGGCTCGAATTATCGATAGTCAACGCCTTACTGTCCGATTTGACCCACTGAAACTGCGCAGAGATGTTGCATCTCTGTGCATCTTCTACCGAATTTATCATGGGGAGTGTTCTGAGGAATTGTTCGGATTGATACCTGCTGCTGATTTTCACCACCGTACAACCCGCCACAAACTAAAGTTTCATCCCAATCATCTGGACGAGTGGCGGTCTTCCACCGTGCGTTTTTCAAGGCACTTTCTTCCACGCACAACCATTCTTTGGAATCAACTTCCAGCAGCAGTATTTCCGAACCGATACGACAACATAACCTTCAAGAAAAGAGTATATTCCTTTTTAAAAGGCCGGCAGCACACCTGCAATGCCGCTGGTGTTGTGGGTGATCATGGGCGGCGGTAGTCACTTACCATCAGGTGAGCCGCATGCTCGTTTGCCCCCTGTGTTGTAAAAAAAAAAAAGTTTTTTTTTTCTTTTGTTTTTAATAATTCATAATCATCAAAGAACGTATTCTTTTATACGACGTCTAACCCAAAAATATTAAGTATATTTTTGGGTTAGACGTCGGTGTCAAAAAAAAAAATATATATATATATATACTAAAATAATCTACTTTTGTTTTAATGGTGACAACTATCGGAAACTACTAAAAGTCTTAAAGATGTCAAAAATTCGAAATAGAATAACGTCTGAATGTCTCTTAAAAAATATTAATGAAGGTTACCTTTGCCTGTTTTTGTATAGTACAGACTTGAGAAATACGAACAACAAAATTACTTGAAAGCCGGTTTATAGTGTTTTTAAACAGACATTCTCGTAACAACTGGGAAAATTGCTGGATTCCTTACTTTATGATCGGACTTATAGTTGGAAATTTAATTTAATGTAAAAACTAGTTCAGTCACTATGAACTTACGTGAATTTTCTAAATAAGTACGCGTGTTCTAAAAACTTGTATCTTAACCTTCACAAAATATATCAATAAACACATATCTGATATTCAAAACGTAAAAATAAAAAAGTAAAATTTTTGTTCATACATCCGCCAAATCCTTTTCGAGCTTATATTGCATATATGAACTTCGCTATTCGTCTATTTTTTTAACATACTTGTTGCTAAGTTTTTTCTCTTTTACATAACCAATTTATATACTTTTAACTTAGTTATGTTTCGCGGCTTTGTCCGCATGAATATTTTGAAATATACTTTCACATTTGCAATATTGGTAGAATCTAAGGCTACGCTCGTCGAAAAACAAACATATATAAAAATAAACATATATAATAATGAAATAACTTCATACTATTGAAATTAACCGCTCCATGCAACCTTACCATTATTTGATAAAAGGATTCATGCGAATAATAATATGGTTTAAATTAGTAAAGACCCGTTCCATTAAATTTCTATGAACAGCCGCTTCCCATTTCACTTATTAACACACCATGGACTTGCCCACGCCTCGTGTGTTCTATTCATTAAAACAAAGGATGCTTTTAACTTCAAAAATATGTTGATATGAATATGTAATGTAATACCATCGTTAATAATTATGAAACCTACTTTACAAATCTTAGATTATAAAGTAAGATAGATTGATAATATAAAAAAGAGAAAACATAATCACATATATATTAGAGCGAGATAGAAATCTAAGATACCTTCAAAATGTAAGTTCTAATTGAATTCGTACTTCCGTACAATGAATAACTAAAAACACAAAATAACAGATACACTTTTTACAAGTTTCTTACGTACCTCCCTAAAAGAGTACCGAATTATAAAAAAAAGTATATTTTGATTGTATAGGTAAATAAAAAACAAAATTTATACATATCATTTTTATTCACAGTATTTTTATTTAATTTTGAATATTGAAATGGAAATATGTGCTCCAGATTTATTTAAAAACAAAACTTATTCCATATAGTGACAGTACATTATAAAATCAATATTTTCAGTAGGTATATATGTTTGCTGTTTACAATAATGTTGTAAGTATATGATAATATAAGATATAAGAATGATCATAAGTATATAACTTAATTTTCTAATTTTTGCATCAAAAAATTGTATAAAACTGTCAACTTTAACGAACACACTAGATAATAATAAAATAAACTCAATGATATAAATGGTGATACAGAATAATAAAGAAAAAATCAGTTTTTCATAACTTAATTAATTTTCTAATTTTAAAATTCGGATTAATTCAAGACTGTAGTTTATTTCGTTCAAATGTTAAAGACGCGTGATATGCCTACGGGCGGACAGAGAGCCTCGTAACTGTAATATCAGTAACGCCTTCAGTATTGTATACCCTAAAGTAACTTAACATTTAAATTTATATACCAACAATGAATACGCTAAATTAACTGCTGATAATTGTAATAAAATTACCTTTATACTACTGACAAATATGCATATAAATTCAGGTAATTAAATAACATGACATATGATTAATACTTACTTTAATATTTTATTTAATAAAAAATACTGACTTGAAACTTAACAAAATTAGAACTGAAAGAATATTCACAATTATCGGAATTATGGTCTTTAGCTTTTTTTATTCATGTTGATGAACCTATAAATAAAGTAATACGAAAGTAATATAAGATTTTCAAGTGTAAATTGATGTTTGTTTTTGAATATGTCTGTGACTTAAATAACATATCTATAAGGTGTTAATAGATAAAGACTCCTAGAATTTCCATAAACTAAATTGTCCAGAGTTTTAAAGTACTTATTCATAATTTCTTATATTCCAGAAAAAAATATATGACCTCAATTATTTAACTCCACTCAACCACAATAATTTTGATATATTGTACTCAAAGATTAAAATTAAATAAGATGTATTTAAAATCAAGATTTTTGTACTTAAGCAATTAAATCATTAGGTACTTAAAACACTTGATGCTACTATTACATTTTAAAATTGTCTTTGATAACTGTTTACATTAAAACCCAGAACAATTATTATGTTTTACACATCATATTGTTTTGGGTTACACATATCATTGTTTACAGCTATTTGAACACTTAATATTGAAATTTAAAATTTAATAATTACTTACCTAAACTTGTGAAACGTACTAATCATGAGAAAACTATAAATAAACATCAGGATAAAAAATTTGTTTCAACAAAAAAAGAAATATAATGTTTATTATTATATTTAAGTATTCCGAAATCAATATTTGTAATAAAAAAAAGTATAACTATCAATCTATAATACGAAGGTATAAAAATGTTAAATATAAAAATAACTTTATACATAATACATGGAAATAAGTATATTAAAGCCTTTATATTACATTACACTCAATTATATTGACAAACTTTAAAATAAATATGTTATTATACAGATTTATTTATAAAAGTATTCTTTATAATGAGTACTTAATTGTTTAATGGCTAACTAACAATTATAGAATTATATCGAAGTTAAATCACAGTCTTTGCTAAATTGATGAGTTTCTATTCATAAAATCATTATAAATAATTACACGATGAACTTTTTCTATTTAAGTAATTTATATGCTGCAATTTGTTTTGTAATTAAATATTCATAAATCTCATATAATTAAAATATTTTGTAAAAACAAAATTAGGCCCGAATTTTGGGGTACAAAAATTTAGCTATAAAGCAATCCTTGTTATATATATGTATATATATATTGCTGTAAACATAATGATTACTTCACTTTCTATAGATCGGTTTCACTTTTTGGTCCCGAAGTCTACCAAAATTACACTATTAGTTTTACCATAACACAATTAACATCACTTTGTCTATCTCACTGCTGAAACTGCAACGACAATGTTTCTTCTACTCTTATTTCTATTCAGTTTTACTATCCTATAATTGAACTTATGTTTTTCATGAAAGTCTACATCTTTTTTCGATTTCTTCATGCGAGATTCTTTTAATTTTTCTTTCACTTTTATCCATCGATCGTTTTTCCAATCATATTTTTTCCCCATATTCATTAAAATATCTTCGAATTTTGGCCAATTATAGTCTGTTGATTTCGGTTCGGTGCGCACAAAGTCAATATCATTTGTGAAAATTACATGTCTATTCACTTCTGACTCGTTCGCAATACGTTGTTTAAGGAAACGTGGAAAAGGTACCTCACTGGTGGCAGATTGTATATCCAGTTTTATTCTCTCTTGTTTGTTCCTGTTCTTTGTCACTAAATTGCGACTCCATGTGTTTTGTTCATATTTGTAGTGTATTCTATCAACATTATCCCCCTTAAGCCTCTCGTCTGGGTACTCGTCGTAAAAAGCTTCTATCTCTCCCTCGATTTTATCTGCAAGAAAATTGAAATATGTTGGAAATATTTCTTGCCTTTGTTCAAAAAGACTACTAAAGGAATTAACAGGGTGTGTAACAGTATCGACTTATTTAAGAAACTTTTTCGATAACATACATTTATATGTTCAATATTATTATAAATCATATGTTTGTTTTATAACTCCTCAAAAGAACTAAAAATTTACGATTTTATAAAAAATACAAGTATTTTTAGTACGATACTTATTATGATGAATATAATTTTGATTCGATTTATTGTAATTTGTAGTATATGTTAGTAAAAAGCCTTGATCTACGTTAAGTTTAAATTTATACAAAGTTATATTTTTTTTATACAACTTAGAATGGCAAACAAGCTGACGGTCCACCTAATGGAAAGTGGTAACCATCACCTATAAACATGAGTACTACCATGGACATAACAGAGTAGACTATTTCGCCCACGATACCCCCCATGCGTTGCCATTCCTGAGGACTCAAATGTTATTCCTCTGTACCCTGTAAATTCACGCCATATCGCACCCTTCAAACCGAAACACAGCTATGCAAACACAACTGCTTCACGGTAGAAACACAAATGAGACAGAGGTACCCAAGCAATCGACTTTTGTACAAATATCATCATTATCCCAGCTTAACTATCCACTGCTGAATATAGGCCTCCTCTTTCAACTTGGTTTCGCCAATAGTTGCCACGCTTGGCAGGCTGGTTGGCAACCGCAGTTAGCCTTTGGTGACATATTAAGAGAAACCGTTGTCCATCCCTCAATCATTAAGTTTCTTTAGTCCCCTCTTACGATATCCACGGGAAAATTATGGGTAACCCATTCTATACCGAAATCACACGGCTAATATTAGAATATGTCAAGAGTAAACTAGCTATTTTATGAGTGTGATTGTCTGATATTATTAAAAAATCAACTAGTTGAAGTATATAAGAAGAAACTATACATGCTCATCATCATACTACATCATATTATGCAGATTCATAAATAAAAGAGACAAATTTTTCATGATCACGATCTTAAGATGTGAGAAATGATGTAAGAATTTAACAATATTATTTTATATTAAAAGTATTAATGTTTTTATTTCTTTGATTTTACACATGAAGGAAAAAATAAAAGACAAGAATACTTTTAAATAATTTTTAAACCCTTTTTTTTTTGTTATTTACCTCATAACTTAGTTAGTTCAAAACCGATTTAAAAATTATTTATTTTATCTGATAGGATATACTTATAGATTAATCCTGTAAAAACTTTATAAAAATCGATACAGTGGTTTATTTTTTAAATCAAAATAAATAATAAAAAAAGTTTACAATTGAAGTCGGTTTTTTTAGGACACAATCCTTAATTATTCAGTATACAATTTAGATATTTTGTTTTATTGAACTTATTATTTGAATATCTGAATTTCAATAATACGTTTATCCAAATCAAGATTTAATAACTACCTACATCTAATGAAATAAATTTTTATAAACATAATTATATTTATACAAAATGTTTAATCTTGCTTAATTTAAAATGAATATATAGTCTTTATTTATTATTAAAATATTATATAATATTTGTAAAATATAGATTATGAATGCTTATATTAGGGAGACCTAAACTGATCCACTATGAATCTGATCATACTATGTACTATTTGAGATAGTTATGAAAGTGATATGTAAATATTATATCAAAATTGTTTAGGTACCAAATAAGACAAATAAGGAACACGTAACAGTATCATTTATACACATCTTGCTCGTATCCTTTATCAATACTACGTATATACTTAATGGTATTGGAGGAAAATTGTATCTACAGTTATCATAAATCAAACATACCAGCCATCCTTCTGAATGCTTCAATATCGTGCTGAAGATTTTCTTTCCTTTCTTTTTTCTTCCAATGCCCATCTCCTTGGCCTTAAGAAATAAAGATTTATTTTTAACCCTCAAATAAATTACCGAACAAAGATTTGTTGGTTATGCTGTTTTCGTTTCTAAAAAATATTTATTGTTAGACGAAAATACTTGCCTCTAATATTGTAGGTATGTGATGGTAGATCGTAATGGAGTTTCATAACAATTACATACATATCAACTATTTATGGAGCTATAATTATACACTATTTAATAATCCTATTAAGTATGTATTATTACGTATTAGGTGTAGATGTGGTTAATTATAAAGGTAGCACGAAACCTAAAAAGAGATGGACTGTGTGAAAGATGATACTTTTTTAATGGGTAAAAATGGAATGGTAACTCCGCCTGCACTATTTGTATACGATGGCAGTGACATAATAGGTAAGGAAAAAGTTAGGTCAGTTAACCTGTTGCGAGGAATTTAATAAAAATTAACTATGATGATTTCCAGGGGGAACTGCGTAGAGGTAGACCTGACAGAGTTTATTGTTGGCAAAAGGGCTATTAGATACCATTATTAATAATCTCTTTTTCCTCGAAATATGATACTTTCAGAAGGGCAGTGAATATTGATTGCAAATAGAAATGAGTGGAAGAGAAAAACACATTACACCGACCTCAATGACATAAGATAAAAGCAGAAAGATGATGTTGATCTACCAATCTTGCACACAATATTTTTGAGTTAATTAATTATGAAACCATAACAATATAATTACCTTCATTTTTCGAAAATAAATGTCGCCAAATATATTTAATGCAACGTGTATTTTAATGTAAATGGTTACCGTAACTTCTACATTACTTAAAAAATGTGTTACATGTATCACAATAATGTGATACATGTAACACATTTTTTAACTATGTAAGCATAGTGTGAATACTCCACATACCAGTTTTAATCTTGCATAAGAAACAATGTAGGAGCAAACACTGTTAGAGACAAATATTTTCTTCTAGTAATAAAATAGTATACAGTTCGATGTGATAAGCCCGGATACCAAAGTGCCACAGTTTTACAATACTCAAGTACAACGTTGGTCTTTGGATGTTTCACGACATATGTGGTTTGAGCCATAGACTTTTTATACAAGGTCTAATTTCCAACCCGTCTTTCCACTCGTCTGTACAAAAAATGTGAAACAAAACACGAACGACGCAGTTTGCGTGACTTTTTGTTATATTTTATATAAAAGCTGTATTTTTCTTTCGAGTGAAACATAAAAACATAACTAAATAAAAAAACTATCACCATCAATCACATCATTACAACCTATTCATCATCCGTTCGTGAACATAGATCTCGCTGATAATTCACCAGAAAACACTAATGTAAATAATCATCATCTGAAATACCACTTGGTTATTAAACTGGTCGATTGAATTATTATATGGTTTTATTTGAATAAAAACAAAGTCCTATACTAAGCTATATTACAAACGAAATTATAAAATTTCCTAGTAGTTAAATGTACCTTGTCAGTAAGTATATAACAGGTAACATGTAGTGATGACTCTTGTTTTACAATTTATTATAATAACAGCTCCATTGTTATTTTAGCTAGGAAAAACATTAAATGAAATATTCATACTCACCTATACAAATAGTGAAGAGAATCAAATAACATGTATAAGGCAAGCCACCCGCCATTTTCTACGTAACCTGTAACAATAATAAGAATTTCATTTTTTAGCTCTGTTTATCCCAAAGGGAAGGGCAAAGGACTCTGCCCTAATATCGTAAGGCTTACATATTATATATCAAAAATAATTCTGACAATATTAAAACCTTAGATTATATAGAATATGCCCATACAAATGCTTCGAGAAAAGCGGGTCAACTTTTTTGTACATTTTTGCGTGATGAATAGTATGAGTGTTTCCTTTAGAACTTAAATATTTAATACATTGTGTGCGTAAATATATAGAACATTGATAAAAAAAAAGGTTAGCTGATTTGACATTTAGCTGACAAAAAGTTGACCCGTTTTTGGGACTCGATGCTCTATCTATATAATCTAAGATTAAAACCTACTTCTAACTTGAATAAACCTGCATAATACAAGTTTCTGTAATATATAATGTAATATATGATGATAATAAAATATAAATATATAAATACTACCGGACACAGTACATAGCGCCATCTAGTCCTAAACTAAGCAAAGCTCGTACTATGAATAGTAGACAATAGATAAAAAATTTTGAATACTTTTTGTTTGTAAATACATATACGTTGTATATAGAAAACACCCAGACTATTATAAAGAAATATACTCATGAATTTATATTGTGCAAAAATCGGACCCGCGACACCGGAAGATGAAGCGGTATGTTGAACTGCTACATCAGCATGGTCGCCATGCGTAATATGAATAATGTAATATAATTAAGAAAACAAAAGGATGACGAAGGATTCAGCAAATCTCGCGTTTTGAATATAATATGTAGGAACATTACGCAAATCCAACAGCCGGATACTTAATTAAAATAAACTTAAATGTTTAAGCTACAAGGATTGAATTAAACATTATACAAATTTAGCAATTAAATTTGAAATTTAATAGCCTATAATAATAAATACTTAACATTCAAATTTCATAATTTTAAGACAGAAAAATTATCTGTTTGGTTTAAAATTGACAAAGATTAACAGAACTTAAAAATTCTGTTCAGTTATGTACTCGTATTAAAAAAAACATGTAACACACACACAAAAGAAATGCTACATATACAAAAGAATATTTCCTTTTTTAAATCTTTTGTATAGATATGCTTGTTTATTTACTTCCGTATATATAGGTATAGGATCAAAAGAGTTTCTTATTATTTATTATTTTTGTCCGCGAATCTGTATAAGTAGATCTCTATTACCTCCTACAAAAGGGATCTTCTCAGAATTATGCTATTAATGTACGCAGGTCCACATAGCTCCGATTTATTAAGGACTCTCCCATTTCTCAATATTAGGTAGAGTCAGTCCCAGTGTTTAACAACCAGGCACTATAATTTTTTTATGCAACTTAGAATGGCCAACAAACTGACGGCCCATCTGCTTGAAAGTTGTAACCGTCGCCTATTAACATGAACAGTACCAAGGACAACAGAGCACACTTTGTCCCTTATGATAATTTTCATGCGTTGCCATTCCGGAGGGCTAAAGAGTAAGGGCTATGCCTTTGTACACTACAATTTGAAACCGACAATTTACCGTCAAAACTCTTTAAGCAACCCTTACTATATAATATAAAAGTTTGTTACTTCTTGGCGCCTTAATGGCTTGACCAATTATCAGAAAAAGACACAGTTTATTTTTTGTTTCACTTCATTAATATTACCTTAATCACGCAGATGAAGTTGTGAGAGAAATTTAGTAAATAATAATTATATATTGCTAACTTTTACTAACGACTTCATCTACGTGACCAGGATATGTTCACTGGAAATGTAGCTTATATTTTCTCCATCTCATATATATAGATATAGATATATATATATATATATATATATATATATATATATATATATATATATATATATATATATATATATATATATATATATATATATATATATATATATATATATATATATATGACACCGACGTCTAACCCAAAAATATACTTATTCTGAATAAAGATAAATATAATAAACAAACTTACTTTCACATTTTCATATAATATTATTAAGAATTAAAAAAATATTTTTATTTTCGTTCATCAATTGGTCGTTAGGTTGTTAATTATATTAATTTATAATTATTAACTTTGTGGAAATCAAAACTTTTGAAACCAAGCAGTCACAGTTTATTATATAAGAAAAACAACCCTACCTATTAAGGTACCTATGCCCTTTGTCTAACTTTACCCTTTACAGCTATAAGGTTTCGCAGTCAAATATGCCATAATTAATTTGTTGAAAGAATATTAGAATCATATGAAAATTAACACTAGAGTTAACACTAGAGTTACGAATAGGTACAATTATACAAAAAAAAATAATGGATAAAAATAAACATTCATTTACTTAAAAGATTCTCCAATAAATTAAGGATACCTTTAAGAATAAAAAAAAGGAAAATTGGGATACAATACGAGTATAGTTAATTCATATTAAAGAGCTTCTTTATTAATTTCCTTCATGGAGCGTAAAAAAATAATGACAATTTCAATATTCAGTGTTTTATATTTACATTGTTTAAATTTTATTTTTTTATAATACAATAAAAAAATATTATTTATTTTTCAATAGCTAACAAGTAGTAGCTGATGGCAGTCATCAGCTAATAAATAGAATGAATATCATGGGTAATCGATACAGGGTAATGCCCATGGAACTTATATATCATGTGAAATCATTTCTGAGCAGTGAGATCTTCATTAATTAAAAATTATAAATTCAATTTGGAAACTCTCTATTCTCAAAGTAATAAAACTGGATGATCTAATTAGCATTATTTTATTTTTTGATGACTGATCATTTACCAATAGGTATAGATTTATTTTAGCCATAGATTTTAATAGAACGTTTATGATGACTTGGGTGTCTATGTCATCTGAATAATCTGACAAAAGACAATGTCTTAAAATTCATTGCGAATAACAACCCTCAGAAATAAATAGTTTATGAAATTGATACATGTTTTAATATCTAATTTAGTAATAATATGACCGACAATAATTATTAATCTGAAATCTTTCTACAATATTAATAACTTTCGTGATATATTTTTATTTATACATACAGATATCAAAGAAAAGTTGATAGAGATCAAAAAGTAACATAAAACCTACGTACTTAACTTAAATTGTAATCTAGTATAAGTGCGTATCATGGAGTATACATTTTGCGTACAAAGGCTTTATACCGTCGTTCTCCGGTTTGCCAAATAACCTAACGAGATTTAGAGAAGGTGCTAGCTTTTATGTAAACAGCTTCCGTTAAGATAAACCCTTGCCGTATTTAAGTTACATTATATATTAGATACATTATTTTGTAGTTATGGCGTTTTAAAAAACCAACGATAATTGTTATGCTTAACTAAATTATTACTCATATTTTTACAGATTTTTTTTCTAAACAGATCTTAGATTATAAGTGAAACATAACTAAGATCATAACAGTTGATGATGTCAAGACCTAGGTAGGTAGGGGGAAAAATTAATGTGTTTAAATGATAATCTTTGAAAAAAGGCCGGAAGGAAGCTGTTATGTTTTTATAATTAGTGAGACATTCGAATTTGACAAATGAAGAGGTAACTATTTACCTACCACTGACGGAGAATAAAATAATATTTTACGACTTCAAGCAATTCATATTTTATGGAGTCATTATTGTGGTTTGTTAAAATTAGATTTATTTTGCCCCTCAATATCGCACCGGCTGAAAGTGAACGGTGGTGACTTTTTAATTTGATTCGATTTCTATGGCCCCTTTCTAATATTAAAAAATCTAATTATAGCAGTTTAATTACACCTTTTTCTATAATTATATTTGCAAATTTTTATTCGAAATATCTATTACATCATTTGATAAAAGTATATTTGAAATAAAAATGTTAATTAGAATAAAATAAAAAGAAAAGAAACCTAACCGTGTACCTAATTTTATTCGAAAACGCTTAGTAGTTTTTGTATGAAAGAGTGACAAACATCCATTCACTCATCGGTCGTTACAAAATTTCGTTTTTGTTATATTATTATTAGATTTATCAATATCTTGTTAGTAGTAGTAGTAATTATTCTCATAGAGACTTGGGAAGGTTAAAAAACGTAAAAAACTTTTAAAATAAATTAATTTAAATTTATTTTAAAATTAAATATTTTTTTATAATTATGTTATAGGGAAGATATTTTCTTTATTCAGTTTCTCAATTTCCCTTTTGAAATTCATAAAATTAGTATTAAAGATTTTTTTATGTAAATAGACTATTAAAAAATTTCAAATACAATTTATCGTCACAATTTTTTTCAACAAACACAGTATTATAATTTATTTTATTTGCATTTAATCGTAATTCAAAGTTTGAAATAACAAGTAGCTATAATATGTAGATACATATTATACTTAACTATAAATAACAATTATTTAAAAATATTATGTAATTCATAATAACTTGTATTAACACAATATAAACACGTTTTTACTTCATTTAAAAAGGATTTTAACAATTTATCAAAAACTCTTTAACTCTACCTAAACATTTTAAGGTATGTTAAACCTATTTTGTAAATGAAGCAAATAACTTATGGTATTTAGTATATTATATATATATATATATATATATATATATATATATATATATATATATATATATATTCTTTATTGCACTTGTAAGTTAGATATAAAATAATGTATTTATAAATGTTGTGAGCAAGAGTGGACTTATCTCTGACAGACCTCTTCCAGTAAACCCAGCACAGTAAGAAAGCATTTCGTTAGCGTGCAACTGAAGTGCTACAAATATTAATACATAAACAAATATACAATTAAATAAAATATTAAAATATATAATAAAATATTACATAAATACATACACTATAAATACATATAATACCTACCTACTTTTAATTATTATTATTTGAATTAATAATGCTTAAAAAGTCGTTATAAAGAAATATAATTATATTTATATCATATATATACAAGAAATTCACAGTAAGTCTTACAATGTTTAGGGTCTGCACAGGTAATTAAGCCAAATGAAAGCTTTTGTGCTACTACTACATTCAATAAAGGTGGCGTCTCTTTGATGCTATAATAGTCTATAGGCTTAGAAATTCTGTCTTTGCTTCTATACTACAAACACTTATTAAATACCTATTCTATTAACGACATCCATTTCATTCAATGTAATTATGTCTTTTTTTATACAGATACATTATTAATCTATTTTTGGATTGGTACAAAAATACTGTATATTTAATATGCCTATTAAAATAACATATATAATATAATATTAAAAACGAAAATATAGTATTTTGAAGGGCTTTAAAAGGATAGATTTAGATACACGCCAGTCTATTTATAAAATATATAGTATACTAGATTGATCTTTCTTTATTTTTAGATATATATTTTTTTTTTTACAAGTATAACAATTTTTGAAAAATATCAAATCTTTCATTACATACTCTTAAATTGTAAAACTGTGCCCTGCCGCTACTCTACGTTTCCAAGGCTCTGTAGTCTGCTTAAGATATCCTTATAACAATAAAATTTATAATTTTATTTGTTTACAGTCATAGTAAGTATATTTATGTATTCTGTAAGCAAATATTATGAAAAATGCAAGGACAAGAATAATATCGATAAAATAAATTACCTTTAAATGTTGTAGCAGACACTCCTCAAAGCTTGAGATCTTTAATAAAATACTGTCTTTGATTCCTTAGCAATTCTCAGCATAAACGCAACTTCGAATGTAGTCACAAAACTTTTTCTCTTCCGTTACGAATTTGTTTTTACTCGATAGTCCGAAAGTACGTACTCTCCTATCCGACTATCCTGCGAGACTGATGTGCTCGAGCCGCCAGTTGGCGGACTCCATTTTCCCTACCCTTTCCCTCAATCGGCTCAACTTTTCCATTTCCACATACCTACAACATTACTCGTTCTGTTTGTTAGTACCAGATATATTTCCAGTAGGAACGAGCAATGAACGCGCTATTTATTCATGTTAACGAGCGATGTTTTTCTATACTGATGTGTAGTAAATGTTTCGGCCTGGTTTTTCCTACCATTCTACGTTAGTCCTCTTTATTCCGGCATGCTGAAATTTGTATTGCATGTCTGCAAGGTGAGCTTTTCAATCAAACAACCTTTCGAGATTCTATAGAAATAGCTTGAGCGCCATTAATATCAGACAGTTAATTAACTCTTGAGCTAGCCAACTATTCATTTACCATTAATAGCTTGGAATCAAAATAACTGTTTACCTACAGTTACTATAGGTATTTGGTAATAAAGGCAGTTAATTTAGATAGTAGGTATATGTATGTTATTTATATTAGACCTTGAATTAACTAAGAGAATAATAATGACGACAGATAGTTAACTCATAACTTTAAATTTACTAGGTACTTTTTGAAATATTTAATTAAATTATATAATAACAAATTTCTTAAAAAATATTTGTATATTTGTATTTCAATTATAATTTTAAACAATAAAAACAGTTGTAAAATTCATTTTAAGCCCACTTTTCCTTTAATTTTTTTAATATTAAATTAATTTTATTAAAATTCATTTTTCCCGTATATTTTAAATAAAATATACGGGGGAAACACATACATACAGAATCCACTTGAAACGTAAATTATTAAAGAACTATTTTAATTCTCTGATTAAGAATAATTAAAAGTAATATTTATTAAATTCCATAAATTTTTATTTCATAAAAAAATATTCCTTAACAATGTAATTCTCTTAGTTGTTCTTGTCTATATACAAGACAGTTTTATTAGATACATACTCGTATGTTCGACGTAACGGGTTGAATAAAACGAAGTCATTAAAGCGGTTGTCGTTTACAAAAATGTCCATTAATGTAACCCTCCTCAAATTCTATCTAAGCTAGAGGATCAAGGCTTTGTCTTTGGCGATATTTTTTCAAGGCTTTTTTAGGCCTGTCGACTTCTGTTACTCGCCTCTTTTATAAAGCCACGCATGGAAATACGTACACATTTTGTGAACCCACCTACGAGTAGATACGTGTTTGATTTTGTAAAGTCATCTACAAGAATTGGGATAACACTAAGTCAACCGTCGTATTTTATTTTTACGGCACATTAATGGATTAATTTAGTCGCTAGTGATTCCGGATCAATTAGGAATAAAAGATGAGATGGAAGTCAAGTCTATTGGCGCATCCTTTCTCATTCTCATTTTATTGTCCTTTTAAGGGAATGTTTCATTAGGGAAACTGGGCATTTTCACAAAAAAATATATAGGTCTTGAAAAACGATAAAAAAATTTAATCCCCTTTATGGAATTGATAATTGAAAATGCCATGTTTGTATAGAAAGATCAAGGTTATTGTCGTTTTTGACACATATTACTTTGAGAAAAATATTCAGTTTTATTGGTAATTTGTCCCTTAAAACGTATAGGTATATGTATAGACTCGATTCACTATTTGAATTGGCTGTAGGATTAACGCTATAATTGATTCATCAAACCATTAATTCACGCTGTCACATTCAATGTAGATAATCCGTACATGTTTTGTTACAGTCAAATATCTGAGTCATACTGTATTGTTAAAAATAATTACTATATATACTTACATTTCATATAAAATGTGACATAACTCAATCAAAGTTTTAGACTTTTACTCTCTTTTAAAACTGATCAATTTGTTGGACAATTTTTGAAAACTACTAACTAGTATATAACTAGAACCTATAATGTTTAATCTATGTTCAGTCTATGTTCTAATAATACTTAGAATAACAAACAGCTAGGAGCTAATGGAAATTGGATGCTGACAAAACTGACATTTAGAACACCATCGAATATACATCATGCGTTGCCATCCTGAGTCCTCAAGAATGGCAATGCATGGGGGATATCATGGGCGAAACAGTATACTCTGTTATGTCCATGGTACTGTTCATATATATAGGCGATGGCTATCACTTTCCATCAGGTGGGCCGTCAGTTTGTTTACCATTTTAAGTTGCATAAAAAAAATATCTTGTGTCAATGGCCCTAAAAATATTCTTCATATAATATTCACTTCTGAGAACCTGAAATAAAATTCTATTCAAATGTTTATAACAATAATTTTGAAATTTCATAATAAACTATAGTAGCATTTCGCAGTTTCACTTATGTGAGTTAGTATATAAAGTATCCTATATGCTTAGGTTATAGGTTATTAGGTAACCTACCCGTGAACCAAATTTCATTGAAGTCCGTTTATTAGTTTTTGAATGAAAGAGTAACCAACATCTACCCATTCACCCATCGTTAGACACTTTCATATTTATAATATTAATAGATATGCATAAATTGTTCATATGCAGGTTAAAGAAATCTATATCGGTACAAAGTGAATAATTAGCATCCTTTTAAGGGAATAGTGGTAGAAATATTAATAACATTTTAGATTTACATAAAAAAAAAACAAAAGACGTAATATGACAAAATAAAGTGAAGACTCCTATACTAAACAGGATTTATTTTTTCTGAATGCTTATTTGATCGTATGGATAATTTTTCTAATATATTCAATGGATAATTTTTTGTTAGTATTCTCAATAAATCTTATTTACTATTTTATTATTTTTGAATTTATTAAAATATGAACTAATTAATAAATATGTTTATGACTATAATCCATGATGGGATAGTCAAATATATTAGTTGACTATTACCGTTACGATTAATGTAGCATTAATCTTGCTTATTTTATTATAATAATTATACACTAACGACCTGCCCTGACTTCGCACGGGCACAATGAAGAAACAATATAGTGTCAGTATTGAGTGATTAATAATAATAATGTTATTTTCATCAAAATAGCTTTCAAAATCCACATAATTTGTATAAATTTTTTTAAACATTCAAATGAAAACAGAAAGGTATATGAGTAATATAAGATGCCATCACTGACTTTTTTATAATTCTAATAAAGAGGGACAATTTCATCATACATTAGGTATATTGTATTATTTATATTTAGTATTTTCGATTAAAGCTCTCAGTCGATTTGATTTCTTACGGCACCTTACCTTACCTACCTTTACCTTATTTCTTACATACAAAATATGTCTATGTAATTGTCTTATTTGTTAGAACATTACCCAATTACATTTGCTACCTGCATATCCTAGCGAAAAATAATTAATAACTAGTAACAGTAAACCAATATTTATGGCAAGTAAACCAATCAGTATCTTGTTCCTCGTATTATTAATAATTTAAATCCATATTTTATATTAAGTAACCCACAGTCCTATATAAAACATAAATTTTAAAAGTATTTTTAAGCAACCTATAATATATCATTTCATGTAATTATATAAACAATAATTTGTATCCGAATGTTATGGCAAGTACAAAATAAGCAAAATGTATAGCGTACCAGATAAGCTTCTGTGATTTTTGGTATGCATATTTGTTATTGTGGTTTTATAGCGATAATAAATAAATTAATAAATATAAAAAAGGTATTTTTGTATATCGTCATCAAATCAAATTCTAATTATAAAATGTATTACAAGCGATTGATATTCAAGGATTATATTGTAATTTTCGAAGGGATCTCTAATTTTTTTTTAAATAAAATATAGCCTTTATTAATCTGATAATGTAGCTTTTTACATTAGATATTATATTTGAATACAGTTAATTACTTATTGAATTTTTCAACTACAATACTTTTTAAATAAAACATCAAATCTTTTCTCTTCATAATATTAATTTAGATTAATAAAATAGGAATAAATGCGAAGTTATCTCTAAAAGAAGTCTCTTCCATTCAACTTAATACACTAGCGACAGAAATAGTGAATAGGAAACGGTAGTGAAAGAGTTGAAAATTCTAATTGTCAATACCAATAAATTTGACCAAAGTCATATATGTATATCGTTAAATAAGTATCTTACTAATATAATAAAATGGTGACTAGACACTGTCTATACATTGGGGATATTTAAAAAAAATTTATGTACTAAGGATTCTCAGTAGCAATGGAAGTCAAAATGATATTTTTTATTATTCTGTCATTACGCAAGAACTAATGCACCAAACTAGGGGGGAAGGGATTGTTAGTAATGGAAATTAAAGGCTCTATTGCTAGCAATATAGCCAAGCAGGTCGACCTCCACGTGGTTCTCCCTGGAAACCATCGTGTTAAATTCCAAGTGTATTCATCACGATGGGCTAACTGACCTGCCTTTTCATTCTCACCTATCATCCCTCACTGGTGCCCCGCCAGCGTATACCGTTAGCGTAGGCGGTGTTTACCATTCCATTATCATCCATTAAAAAAAAATGCACCAAACTTAATGCAGTTTTCAAAGTTATGTTTCTGACTGTCTAACTTAACATCTGGTTTACGTTTTATCTTAATATGCTATTACATGCTACAAGTGGTATATTTCAATGACTTTCCTGCTATTGAAATTCATGCATACGAAATAGCGGTTAAAAGCTAGCTTTTAATAAACTTATACTTCATTCATTTAATACACTTAATTGTGACTTTAAAATTTAAGTGGATAAAAGTAATAATAATAAGTATTATCATAAAATTGAAAAAAAAAACAAATGAATATAAATAATTACTTATCGCTAATTATTGAAAACGTTAGAGGGCCGTGTCTACGTAATTTAAGTGAAAACGAATTTTTAACTTTTAACGTCGATGCAGGATTTCGCCACATCACTCGTCCGGTTCGAAAATATTGTCTGATAGCCGTACCCAAAAAGCTATTTTCGTAAATCGTTAATCAGTCGTCGGGGCGGAAAACTGATAAGGTAGACCTTTCGCCAATTAACTTAATGGTGATTCTTTTTCGGCCTTCGCGTAAATGGCCAGTTTATTTGGTGGTCGATGTAACCGATCGGCATATGTCACTGAGGTTTATATTTACGAGTATATCCGTAATGGAATTGATTTCAGGTTCAAAACAATATTATCCTTTTAATATTTTATTATTAAAATTTTTATTGATATTTGAAATAGAACAGCTTATGGATATTCCATTATCGAATTGATTTTAGGTTAAAATTGAATATTTGCTTATAATATTTTCTCATTAAATTCTGAACGGTGTGGACTGCCGTTCGTTGAGCGTGGACTGTAGGGGCGTTGGTTCAGGCTGGAGTGAAACGCACTGATTACTTTTCTGAAGCCTCCGGTACCGTCTGAAGAGAGTATTTTTCTTCTTGTCCTATTTCTTCTCGAGAGTGTAGTGCGTCGCTGCTCGGATGCGAATGCCGCTCGACGGAAGGCGGCCTATCT